CCTTGGTTCCCACCAAACAAATAAAGCCCACACACATCTGGGAGTTAGTGATGATTTGTCTTTTTTCTAGTTCCGAATGATATTTCTGACTCTCTAAATGTTTGGAAGCGCAGAGATGCCAGACGTTCACTTGACAAGTTTCACATGTATGCTGCAGAGAGCTTTTCAAAGTAGAAGAGGGGATGGCTGGAGTGGAGCAGGATGCCTGCAATCCCTGAACTCTCAGGACATTAAGGCACAAATCGTTTGCTGGATGTTTGAGGAAGTCTTGATCTACAAAGTAAGTTCCAGACCAGCCAGGGAGACAGTTTGTGTTAAACAAGCACGCAGGACTGCAGAAATGTCTCAGTGATTGAGAGCATCCACTTTTCTTGAAGATGACCAAAGTTCAATTCCAAGAGCCCACATAAGGTGGCTTACGATGTCCTATAACTCTATATCTAAGGAATCTAATGGTGTCTGGATTCTATGAGTTCTTGGACAAGCATGTGAGCGCTCATGTGTGTGTATGCACACACACACACACACACACACACACTTAAAATGAAGTAAACATTTAAAACAAACAACCTTAAAAACAAAGTAGGAGGAAAGGTCCATCCTTTCATGAGTCTAGTTCTACCATTTAATTCAAGTCAGTCACAATGAGTAAGAGAAGGTTTCAAATGCAGGGATCATCAGCATTTCTGTGGGGTGGTAGAACATAGCTGTCAGTTCACTATGTGGGGCTGTTAAAAGGATCAAGCAGAATAATGAATGCAAAGAAAGGGTTTTATTTTTAATCAACTATTAAAAGTCACTCTGTCAATGCCAGTTTCATTGTGATTATTGCTCTTAAGGGTTTGCAGTATGCAGTTAGTCTTTTGACAGCTTTTGTGTTAAGGGCCAGGCAGTATTCTGAGATGCTGAAGAAGTGAGAATTTATGACCTTGGGGGTTCATTCAATTTAGAAAGGTATAATATAACACCATGACTCAGGCAATTTAAAGATCCCACTGAAGTGTCTAGACACCCTTGGAACAGTGAGTCATACACTGTGTTCTGTGGTGTTTAGTGCACACTCTTCCACTTCTCTGAGGTCTCCTTGAAAAACGTACCACTTCCATAGACCACTATATGAACTCAGTTCTGTCACTGTGCTGTCTGTGGAAGGCCCAATCATGTTGAAGCTCTCTCTTGGGGACTCTGCTTCAGAACTGACTTGTGATACTTTCCTGCCTACCCTGTGATTCTGACCAATGGTGATATGTCTGGACCTGGGGTGGGGTGAGGGAGAATGAGGAATTAGGGATTAGGAATGCAGGCTGCAACATCACTGAAGACAGAGGCTTGGGGATAAATGTTATATAACCTGAATGTTTCTGTCAATTCAAGAAAAGATGTTCATCTCATTTTGACCATTGTTCAAGGCTCTCTGTTCCTATACATACGTTTCCATAGTCATTGACTTCTTAGGGTTCTAAGTGATGAACTGCATCTAAGGGGAGTTGGGAGAAAGGGTATGTAATACTTGTTGGGAAGTAAGCCTGATGACAACTCCAGACTGGGGCATCATCAGATAAATAGTAGAATTTGGTACCCAAAGATTTATCTTTATCAGGCCTTGGCACCCAAGTAAACAGGATAGGCTTCAAGCATCAATGTCCAAGTGTTGACACATGACACAGAAGTCCTGAGAAGATGGGTTAGAGGACATTTCTATGCTGTCTTCTTTGTCCCAGCCTTCTCTCCATCCATTCTCAACCTCTGTTGTCAGTCAGATTTTCTAAAGCCAGTGAGATCCAGGCGTTTATCTGCCTTATGGCTGGAAGCCTTGGGCCCTAAGCCCATTCCCTGTTGCTCTGTTTGTCCAGGACAGCAGCTATGACCGTCTGGCCACAGACACTGCAGGCTCTCTCATTCATTCTGGCAGAGACCCCAGGCTCTCACTGTGAGGGAAAATGTGTCTGTCCCAGATCACTCTTCATCTTCCTGGGGAAGAATGACTCATGCACCCCTGTCCTCTGCTTATCCAACCCCTCTTACATGTTCTGTTTTCTGCAGGGCACACTGGGCCTTGCTGGGTGTCTCTGGCTAGGGATTGCCCTTGAAAGACCCCTTAAATGGCCTCTTCTGCAGCTGGGAAAGTGGAGGGGACTCTGCTACAAAAGAGACCAGCTTTGTGTAATATAGTCAGTAGCAATGACAGGTTCCTGTTATCCCATTTAACTCCCTCACTATAAGACTAGGGAGTAGGCTAAAGCCTTCATTAATTGAATAAATGTGAGTGTCTGCTGTGCACTTCATGTCATTAAAAGGCGTTAGGACCTGGGGAGAGCGATCAGTTAGTAAAGAACTCACTGGATAAGCATGAGGGCCTGAGTTTGATCTCCAGCACCCAAAGCAAAATCTGAGCATAGTGACTCACACTAGGGATCCCAGCCCTGGGGAATCCAAGATAGGAGGATACCTGAGGTCCATTGGTCAGTCAGTCTAGATTAAACACAGCAAGACCTGAGTCCCAGGGAGAGTCTCTCTCTCTCTCTCTGAAAACAATGATGATGTCTCCTTAGGAGCTGTATCCCAGCTAGCTAGTTTGCATCCACACACATGCACCTGAATACATGTTCATCCACAAGCAAAAAAATACATAAAAATTCTTTTTAAAGGGCTTTGTGTGCATTAGTACAAAGATCTCCATGAACACAAAGCTTATAAGGCAGAAGTGGGAGGTAGGGATGGAGAATAAAAAACATCTACTTAAAAACAACAGCAACCTACTTTCTGGAAAACATTACCTTCCTCTGCATGTCCTCCAGAATCAATTAACTGCACAACAGTTGACAGAGAAGAAACCACTTATGACTGGGAATGTGGCACAGTCCTGGAACATTTGCCTAGAATGCTGGATCCCCAGCACCGCAAGAAAACAAGAAACTTCTGCCCAAGGTTCTTGTTCTCTCTCTCTCTCTCTCTCTCTCTCTCTCTCTCTCTCTCTCTCTCTCTCTCTCTCTCTCTCTCTCTCATGCACACACACACACACACACACACACACACACACACACACACGACGGAAGGGGGGTGACTAAGATCCAAGCACTGTGCTACACAGACATCGGATACAAAGATCAATGATTTCTTTATACCGGGTACTCCAAGTCTAGGTAGAGAGAGACATCCATGTAAACATAATGTAACAGTGTACTGTCCCAGAGACATCTGCGAAGGGTTAGTGCTACCTACTGCTGAGCCTCCAGCTGCCTGAGGATGCCTCTCCTCTCAACTACACACTGCCGACACTCCACTGAACCACTCACTGACACCATGTATGATGTGTTCCTTTGGAGACTGAGAAAATAAAAATCCTGTTAATGTGGCAAATGCGTCACTAGGCTGATGACTGTTTTTGCTTGCTCATTTAGGTACATTATTCACCTTTCAACTAGCTTTGAATGCTTTGCTGCAAAGGATGCTCACTGAATGTCAGAAGAGTCATTCTCTTGGCAGATAGGAAGAGGGGATTGGCTCATTCTCCCTCTCTGCTTTGCAAACTGGTATCTGAATTACCTACCCTTTGGCTAACACCTCTGAAGCAATCATAGTGTGAGGATTCATCACAACCTCAAAGACCTTTCAGTGCTTTGAATTTCAACTTGCATTTCAGTGGTTCTGAGAAACATGACCATGGATGTCTTTGAGGAGATTGGAGACCCCCCGACATGCTTCATACACTGTGGCACAAACAGGGTAACTATGTTTTCCTTCCAGATTGCAAACTCTAGTTTTCATAAGTTTTTTAAATAGAAACAAAATAAATAAACATTGCCATCACTTTTCAGTGGTGCATTGAGGCTTTCAGAGAAGTAAAAGTGATTTTCCAAGGACAGGACAATTACAGGGGGAGTAGAGGAAAGAGACTGCAGTGAAAGGTGGCATGAAGGCTACAACTAAAGAGTCCCCTTGCCTTTCCCAGCATTCCTTGGGCCCAATATAGCATGGAGATCTTTACTCTTCAACTCGGGATCTGCCCCGGCTGAATCAGCAGCCCTTGGCATGCCGGTTCACCTGCTATGGTGGGGTGAGAAGTGCTTTACCAAAGCAGTTTGGTGGAGCCAGAGCTCTCTGCTCTATCATGCAGCTTCAGACATCAGCCAACTGAGCTGTGAATTTACTGTCATTACTGCAAGAAGAAAGGTGTTCAGCTTTTGGAGTTGTGGGTCTCTAGAGACATCGTGCACCTCTGGGACATCTGTGGAGTAGCACTGTGATTGCAGAGAACAAACAGAACCCCAAGGCTGTCCTCCAGAGCACCAGACTATAGAGAGACAAACCACTTGAGTGAGGCAAACTTTGAGTGTTGAAGGTTTAAATGCCTGGATTGTTTGCAGACCAAATCATTTGGGTTATGTTGTGTTGTTAACACTGGGTGTGAGTTATCAGGGTAAACAAATGTATATGTACTCTCATAGACAATTGGAAGCAAAATCAGGAAGCCCTTGGCTTCAGCCCAGGGAGAGACAAGGAAATAGGACATCACAGGCTCTGACTGCCCGGTGACTCAGGAAACACCAGCATCACTTTGTTTCTACTTCTATTGCTTTCTGTCTCTATACCAGACTGTGGCCCATGCGGGACTTGGTTACTCCTAGAGGTGCTGCTGCAAGGATATGGGTCCCAAACAGACTTGGATGTAAGGTGAAGTCAGCACAACAGAAGGAAAAGGCATGGACAGGACTGTAGCCTTCAGCTGCTGGGTGATGTTGGTCAGTCACTGACTTCCTGAATTGTTCTGTTTCTTTCTTATGTCAAAAGAGGCATGTGAGAACATTGGGTTGGGTAACCTGTAGGGCCCTTTCCCTTATTATAGTTTTCTTCAGCCATTCATTCCCTTATATATTTCAGATACTGCTTATCAAGCTGGTTTGTGACATCGTGGGCTTATTTAAAGGACCAGATAGATCATCATAGGCTCCTACCACCCCTAGGAGGTATGAGAAATGAGGTTTAGCTCCCAGACTCACCAGCAGGAATAGGGACATCTCTTGCTGTAGCGACAGCAGTAAAATTGCCACTCCCGGTCCAGCACTGACTCGAAGTAGCGGCTCTGGAACCCTGCCACCAGTCCATTGTTGGAGCAAGTCTGGTACCTGAAGAAAGGAGAGCATCAGGGCACTGATAGATGCAGAACCCCTCCCCAGACCCTCCTGAAACAGTTACACACGCTCTCACTGACTCACTCCCTACAAGTTATTCTATTTGATGCAAAGGATAGATGTTGTATAGTGGAACATCTCACATAACTCAGCAGCTTTCAGTGGAAGGAAGTTTGGTAGACCCCATTTCTGATGACTCTCCATGTATGTATAGTTAGATGAAAGGATAGTTATGAATTTTACAATTGAGGATGCTATAAGCCATTTTACTTGCATTTAAACAAGAATTATGATAAATTGTTACACTTCAAATAAACATTTCACCGTCCTCCTACACAGCACATAAAGTATAGATAGATACAGTGGCTGTCCAGGGGAACCTAATAGGAAGTCTAGGATCATAGTATATCCTAGACTTAGGTAATATATTAGATATACATAATATATTATATTTTTTCCTATCACCTTTCAAAGGACCTATTTCCAAATGTCACCCACACATGAATTCAAGGATTAAGCTTACAAAATATGAGCTTTAGAGAACATATTCAAACCACAGTACATGCTGCTCCAAATCAGGTCTTCAGCTACTTCTGTATCCTTAAGTTTCCTAGGCACCTAGACCACCAATCTATGCCCTCTTGTATGAAACAGGAGGCAGTGGCCGATGGTACACAGTCTGAAGGCTGGCAGATAAAACTAACTTTCTAGAAGGTATGAAAAGGGGATAATGAGTTCCTTGGGCTGACTACTGAGGGAGACCTTGTTGATCTGTAACCCTGGGGCATCTAAGTGTCATTTTCTTTTTCATTGCTAAAAATTAACCCCCACACCTGTCCTTTTCATTCATTTATTGTTTATGTGTGCATTTGTGCACATGTATATTTAAATATACACTTTATTCCATTCATCCATTCAACAACTTATTCTTTATTATTATTATGTTTCAACTACTGTGCACTATGATGAGAAAGGAATTGATAGGTGGGCAGGATGTTTATTCAGCCACATTTCTCAAGTGTGGTAAGAAGTTCAGAGTTGACAACTCAGCTGTATGAGATCAGTGCTGAAATCCAATATGTAAATTGAGACTGATAGATTTTGATTATCAAGTCTTTTTTACCTTAAAAGTGTTGTCACTTTGGCATTCTACAATTGACATTGACTACTACTGTCAGAATGTGATGGAAAAGTAACATTGTGTGTCTTCCAGGTGGGGCTAACCATGCCAATTCCACATCAACATGAGTATGAGGAAACCTGTATAAAATCTAAGAGCCACGGGCAAACCCTAACATCTTCAAAGAGACAGAAAGCAGAGTACACTGGCGCTCTATGTGATTTCCTGTTTTGTCATCATTAAGCAACCACCTTCTTCCAAAGTAGAGCCTTTTACTCCCCATATGGGGTGTGGTTTTATCTACTGTTGTGTTTTATGTACTCTGATCCCCATAAGGAAAAGAGTTGGCACAGCGGTAGGTTACCTTAAGTAAAATGAATGTAGGCAGATGAGCTGACCTGTCTCATGGAAGCCCAGTTCTGAAGGCAATCCAAGTTCCACAAATTCCCCTTTGGCCCTCTGCTGACAGCCAGCCCCATGGCCTTGTAATAAGAGAGCTGCCACTTCCATATGCCACCTCAGACCATGCTTCCCTGTAGAGAGTAGTTGCACCCTGCATGCTCCAGCCCCCATGACATTTGGAGAAAGGTAACCAAATTACAGTGCTCCTCCCCAACTTTGGCTGGATTGTCTTCATAGTTTAGTGGTGGGATCCTGTTGGGAGTTTGGTGGTGTGGAATTTTTCCTTCCAGAACTGGACCTTGGTCAGGGTATGTATTCACAATGGGAAGACGGGCATGGCAGAGTGTCTGTAGTCATAGGTTATGCTTCTGTTAGCTGAATCATCCAGATCAGTTGTCAAGCTATCTAATGACCAAGATTTTCTTTCTGTAAAATGAGCAAAATGGCATATACTTGTAGTCCTGTGAAAAACAAATAGGATAGTGCATAGAAAAGTCTGAGGATGCTGGTGTTTGGAAGCTTTATAAATCACTTATGTTGCTATAATTTGATGTGGTCTATACAGTGAGTAGGAGTCTACTTTGTGAGAGCCTCTCCAAAGGTTGAGTGTACATAAAGCATGGTGTGCCCCTAGGATGAAGCTCACTGATATTGGATGCCTTGGCCACTCTGTACTCTATTATCTCTTATCACCTAAGTGACAGTACAGTCCTTATAAGAAAAGGTCATTTAATCTTTATTTTGTATTCCTCATAATGCCCAAGGCTTGTTCAGCAAATGTTTGATTGTAGAATGAATGGGTAAATAACTGACAGGTTGTCTCCTAATATCAGAGGCAGACTTAATTCCTAAGGGATTATCATTTGAGTCTTTGAAATGTTCTGGAACTCCCTCTGAGTAGTTCCTATGGAAATTGGAGCAATGGTTCATTTTCCTGTTTCTATCTTCTTGTCCGGGGATGAAGGTGCAAAATGGATATCATTTTACACAATTCTTTCATGCAGTATTTACACTCTTGGTCACCTTTGCAATCGCTTCTTATAAAACAAAGACCATGTGAACATTAGGCATAGCTGCGGACTTGCAGGCCCAGGTACAAGGCAGGTGAGAGGAGGACAAGGCTGAGAGAGGAAGCTGGAAGGTTCTGTATTGTTCAACATATTCCAACTCAACCAAGAAAAAGAAGCAGTTATTGGTACAATGACATGGCAAGACTCTGGTGCACTTCACAGCACAGGCTTGTTGCTTTTGAATAGTCTACAGAAGGAGATCAGCTCCAAGGCTCTAAGTGTGGCATTGACCCCAAACTCTCAGCAGACTTCAACGAAATGTTCCCCTGGCACCTGAGGGCCTGATGCCCTGCAACATAAACCTCTCTCCATTCTTTTTCACTATCTCTTTGAGAATTAACGTCAGCTTCAAAGACAGGAGCAATACCAGTTCTGATCTCTCTAAGACTGGGAGTTTTCTGGAAGGGAAGCCATGAACCTATGACTCTTTCGGTGACAGCACTTACAGATATGCTCAAAGGAAATGGCCTTGATGGAAATGATTTTTCTCAAGACCATTACCTTAGTAGCAAAGGCAGAAAAATTTCCCTTGTATCTGCAATGGTAAAAAAGAAACAACAGGACATGGAAGGACCTCATCCTGAGGAATCTGCAGGTCCGAAGTCTCTTCCCCACCTTGACCTGAACATGCTCCATGAAACCTCGTTTACATCACAGTGAGGACACTGTGAAGTGGTGTCTGAAAGAGCATGGCCCTCTAGTCACTAAGCAGAAAAGGATGTATAACTTGGGCTTTTTTATACCAAAACTTCTATGCCTTCTGCCCTCAAAGTACAAAACAAACACAGCAGTGACAGAGGTCGAACAGTACCGAGGTCGAACTTTCCATTATTATATGTGAGCTTCATCCAGTCTGGGTGGAAGAACAGGAGGAAGGACAGGAGGCAGAGGTGGGAGGCAGGAGGGCAGCTTTCCTTTCCTTCCTTTTTTTTTTTAAAGTGCTCTGTGGAGTTTCAGCTTCATCTCTGATCTCTGCTTGCCCCGTTCAAAGGTGTAGAAAGCCCATTATCTCAGTGAGTTGAAAATGGGACTGAGTTGTGTATAGAAGGGGAGGCCATAGTACCATGTTGGTCACTGGTGCTCAAAAGCTTTTAATTGAATAGTCTGGTTGTGTTGGTCTTGTCCCACTTCATAAACACATGCGTACTTTAGGGGCTGTTAGCCTGTCTCCAGCTCCATGGCTGGGATGCACTAAGGGCAGGGATGGCTCTTTCTGCTGTTCCTGGATATGATTCTGCTGCCTGGCTCCATATTTTAGCCCTGCTAAACTGTCTACTGGATAGGAAACAGAAATGACCTGTCAGGTAGAAAGACCCATTATAGAAAAGCAGTCAGTAGAAACTACTCAAAGGGCCTCTCAAGAGAACCAGCTTTTTCATGAGATGTCCTTATATCCTGAAAGTTTCTATGTAAGGCCAGCAAACAGAAGTAACTGTGGGGGCTCATGATCATCAGTTATTAGAATGTCTTTAACCTGTTTGTCTAATGCCCCCCACAATATCTATTAAACTGTGACGAGTATTCAAGATGCTTAAAGTTGTACATATAATAGTCACAGAGTCTAACTGAATTACACTCTCCAAAAGGCCATGTGTCCTGATACTCCAGTCTTGTAACTTACCAGCTACGGGTGATTCATTCAGTGATTCTTAGTTTCCACTAAATGTTCCCAACCCTGTTGTGGAGACCAAATGAGATTGGACTGTGGGCACAGATTTGTGGTATTAATCTTCATATTCTCACAGCCTAGCAAAGTTTATAATAGCAACCACTGATTGGGCAAATGAATATACAAATGGCAGAGGCTATAAGCATCAATATCACAACATCACATAAATTAGGGCATGGGTCATCCAACTTTCACTAAGTGTGATGAGTTCATTGACTTTTCAGTAGCTTGACTCTGAGCTTTCATTTCTAACCAATGGTGTAGAAAGATGACTCTACATTCTCCCCAAGCCTGCTTCCTGTCTTGGGCTTCTTGGATACTACTGCATTCTGTTTGCAAGTAGTCAACCTGAGTTCTTATTTTTCAACTTTTCACTTTGAAATAAGTTGAGATTTAAAGATGGTATAAGATTCACATCTGTTCTTCACCCTGCTTCCCCAGTGCTACCTCTCATAACTTGAGTATGTTTCTAAACACTAAGAAATGACATTAGCAGAACCCCTAAACTCTAGAAATGATTATGATTTTATCAGTTTTCCCATTAATGTCCTTTTATTGGCCTAAGAGTCAAACCACAATATTATGTGACATTCATGCCTTTGAAACAAAGAGTTTCCTATGAACTCTTTTAGTTTACTGAAACAAAATTATGGGAGAATATAAACCTAATATTGGATTCATCTTGTGGTAACAATGTGTGTCAACCATGCTGTATACATATTTTAGAGATTCTTGGGGAACCTTAAAAGACCACCCTGCAGGTTGATGGATACAGTGAGCCAAAATGAAATGCTGGACACTGTCTTATAAATTTGGAAATATCAGAAATCAAAGACATAAACAAAATGGTTTTCCCCAGGGGGGGAAGAAAAACTACATTGAGGGTAGTGAAGATACTGTCTGGGATTCGGACTGCCTCAAGCACCAACTAGACTAATTTGGTCTTTTGGTACACATTTATTGGGGCCCTGATATGTGCTAACACTATTGTAGGCACTGGGAACACAGAAGTGAATAAGACAAAGTTCTTAAGTTCACAAAGCTTATAGTTAATGAGGGAAACAAATTATAAGGAAATACAGATCTAGCAGTAACTATATGCAGAAAACAGCACACTGAGGTTATAGAGGATTAAAGACATTGGTTTAAAGGATGTGAGCACTGTACATTTGGAACACTAAGGACCATGAGCTGGGACAATCGCTCTGCTCTTCACTGCACAGAACATTGCACATTGTGAAAACCCAAGTTCCTGGCCAGAGTGTCTAGTTTTAGACTTACATTGATGCTGACGTAGCTCTGGAACAGTCATCCTTTCTTTTCCTTTCAGTTTTGTGGATTGCCATTGCTTAATTAATTTAAAAATTCAACTCTAATGAAATAGATGCTTTAAAATGTATTTGCAGATTTCCTGAAGCACATGGAGCAGAAATGGTACAATATATAGAACTTTTCTTCCTCCACATACTGACTTCACATAAACCGGTTTGCCCAAAATAAGTTTCATCAAATTCCATACTCACTAAATTGTTATTGTCTGCCCTTAAATAGGATGCTAAAGTGTTTCTTTTAGATGCAGATTTATTATAGTGTTCCCTTCTTCTCCTAGAAGCATCATGCCTTTTATTTCTCCTCTCTTTTCTCACCGCACCCCTGCCCCCACAGAAGGAACTGAATACCAAAGAGAGTATAACTGGGAGGTGTGATGAATCCTAGGCCAGAAAATCTTCTGCCATAAGAATTCAGCTTCACCAAAACTTCCAAGTTACATCTTGCTCCACATAAGACTTGTGTATCCCAAGGTGTATGTGAACCAAAATCAGAGGAACCGCCTCACAACAGACCAGACAGCTCATCTGGCCACCCGAGGCAAACATAATCATGAGGGACTATGTAAAGCCTCCTGGGAATTTCAGTGGGGGAAACGGGCACCCTGCTTCGGAATGCTTGTTCAAAGCAGTGGCTATCAGCCTAGACACCCTGAGTACCAGCACTCAGCTGAGAACAACACCGTGTAAAGATGGCTCCCCATTAGCAAGTTTTCTTCAGCAAAGCCTGTGCATTGTCAAGTTTGTGTTTGTCCCTCCTGCCTCTTAAAATAAACCTGAAAGCTAATTTACTCATACAAGACAGCCAAATTGCAGAAAACTCACCAGCAACTCCTCCCCAGAACAGATTAACAGACTGCAGCCAGCAGGGGGTGGGGGTGGGCCACATGTAATTGCTCCCCAGCCTGTGAACAATTTCTTTCCTTCCAAATTTTGCACTGAGACTGGAGTCTGAACACAAAGTCATAATCATCTAGGAGAAACCGCCTGGGAAGTCATGGGTACCAGTTCTGGGGCAGCTGCATCCTGTGGTGCGGAAGCTGTTTGGCAGGCTCATGGCTTTCCAGCCCCGTACTTGGTGGATATGGGGAGGAGATTAGGTAGGGTGGAAGCTGGAAAGCAAAGATCTTAGATTCCAAACATCAAAAATGCAGAGGAAGGGGAGGGGAGAGACACCTTGCCTGTCAATGTCACACTTGTCACCCATAGGCAAAACAAAACAAAACAAACAAACAAAAAGTCAGCTTTTTCTTCTTTTTTTTTTTTTCTTCTCTTCAAATAGTTTGGGAGTTCATGGCAAAACAGCTGCAAATGGCCACATTTCAAAGACAGCATTTGGCTTCTCTCCTTTAGCTTGGTGAACCCAGGGATCAAGGGACTGCAAGCAAGAACCATGCATACTCTCAAGTGTGCAGCTGCTTGGTGGAACCTGCAGAGATTACAGAGTCTAGGGGTCCATCCTCCAAAGGAGGCAGAGATTACAGAGTCTAGGGGTCCATCCTCCAAAGGAGGCAGAGATTTCAGAGTCTAGGGGTCCATCCTCCAAAGGAGGCAGAGATTACAGAGTCTAGGGGTCCATCCTCCAAAGGAGGCAGAGATTACAGAGTCTAGGGGTCCATCCTCCAAAGGAGGCAGAGATTACAGAGTCTAGGGGTCCGTCCTCCAAAGGAGGCAGAGATTACAGAGTCTAGGGGTTCGTCCTCCAAAGGCGGCAGCAGGAAGACAGCTGATGCTGTGGCTAAGTCACCCTGCATTTTGTCATTAGCACCAGAACCAAACCCCAGCTCTCACAGCCCAGGGCTCTTCTGTTAGAGGTTGAGCAATATTCACAGAGTGCAGTTCTTCTGTGGCTCTAACAAGGGGGTTAGAAAGAGGACCCATTTACATGATGGTCCCCTGGTGGGTATATTGGGCAGGCAGTTGCAACTAGGTCATTTCTATCCTTGAAGTCAGGCAATGAGCTGGGCTGCCTCTGAGTCACCTGTGTGTCTGAAGGGGTTTCAGTTCATTAACCCATTTGGTAGAGACAGAGATTCGTGGGGATGACCTAACAAAGCCTGTCCTGCCTGCCTCTGCAGTTCCTCAGTCTGCACCTCCTGGTGTGGTTGTTGTCTCCTCAGGCCAATAGGCCTTCTCCTCAGAAGCAAACTGACACTTACCCCACCAGGGCTGGGCTTCTGCTGGGCTCTTATGATTCCACCTTCTCCCAGGACTAGCTTGTGTGTGGTTTTGGGTAACAGGCTCTGCTGACAAGTCTGCCCGAGATGGAGGGGGCAGGCTCTTGGAGGCCCACTGAAGTTGCTCAGTATATGTTCTTTAAAGCAAAACTTCCTGGATCCAAAGTTTGCCTTTCTAGCTGAGGAAAACCACCTTATCTCTAGACCAGAGTTTGGCTACCTACAGCATGATCGATAGTCAGACATGCAATAAGGTAATTCTGTTAAGTGCTTGGTATGATGTGTGCTCAAGGACACTCTCAATAGACGAGACAGTTTTTACTGATGTTCCCTTCCGTCCAGCTCCTTCACTCGCTTGGACTGTTTTCTCCAGGATGGCTGGTGGTGTCACCACTAAGGTTGCATGTTGACCCCTTCGAGCCCTCCACTCCACCAGAGCCTTGCAGGAGGCCCTCACACAGTTGTCTTGCTGAGCAGACAGCAGAGGTGGCAGCCTTCCAGCTGGGCTACCTCCTCACTCAGTCTGACTGTTCTAGGGTCAACCTCCACCCTCTCCCCGAGCCCTGGATTCAGACAGCTGGGAATGACTGGTCTAGCCATCACTGGCTGTTGAGACTAGCTTTTGATCAAATACCAGGGCTGGGACAGTCACACAGAGAAGCACAAGCTGGAACCAATTCTACTCTACTGATTAGGGGAAAGGGCAGACGGCAGAACGCATCTGAAAACCTTTGGTAAACTATATCCTGGCAGTAGAGGCCACTTTAAATTGCAAGAGAGGAGAAGTGGAAGGGAGGAGAGAGAGAGAGAGAGAGAGACACACACACACACAGAGAGAGAGAGAGAGAGAGACAGACAGAGACAGAGAGAGAGACAGAGAGAGACAGACAGACAGAGACAGAGACAGAGAAATCTCAGCACTAAGATCCTGTTTCTCAGAACAGCGGAGGGCTATCTGATTTCACTGCCCTGGCTTCTATTTCTCAGTCCTTTCTACCCAATCACTTGCTCTGGATCTGTTATTTCTCAGACTACTGGTGCTGAGAATCCAATTGTTCATTTTCTTCAGACTCTTCCGGAGTCATATGTTTGAAAAGCAGTAAACCATTGCAGAATGGAAACATCATTCCAGTGTCACAGCGATGCTCACTCACTATTAGTTCCTTAGGGAATTTCAGGGTCTTTTGCAGTTTGATAAACATTTTGCAGACACACCCCCAGCCCACAGGCCATACTAAGCCTAGGGAAGGCTTTGAAGGAGTATAACCATAAATAAGTCCAACTTCCATGGACATATTCTGTCCTGGTTTTTCACCATACAATGTCATCTAGCAGCCCTGCCCACGAGAGCATGCAACAGTGAGTTTGGGATATGCCCAAGCTAAGAGCAATGCTAACCCTTGAGGACCAAACTTCCCGCTAGAGTACATGCACAGATGTTGGCATCCCAACTGTACTGGGTGCCTCTTACCATTCCATGCCAGCCCTGTTGATCTCCTCCCACCAGCACTCCGTGGGCTCCCCGAGGCTTTGGGGTGTGGGCATGCAGGCATAGTTCCATTGTCTGTCAGAGCCTTCCTTCTTGCTGAAGATGCTCCTCACGGCTACCACCACTTGCCCGTGGGGACACTGGTAGCTGAAGCCTTGCCGGTTCAGATTCACCCAGCCATCATCACTGTAGTCGTGGTACTGCTGGTATGGGTACCCGTAGTCCCCATACTGGCCCCAGGCTGTGGTTACCAGTGGCAGAAGCACCCACAGAAGAGTGAGGTCCATACTGTCTGGCTTTTGGCACGAAAATGTCACCCTAAATTTTCAGGGCTGACTTTTATACAGCTGCCGCTAACATGTGGCTCCCAGATGTGGGAGAACCGGATCCAACTGCAGTGTGTCATTGCTCAAGCAAAAGCTTTTCCACGCTGAGAAATTGGCCTTGCTTGTGTCCAGCTTGTTTTAAGGTGGAATTCTAGGAATATACAAGGAACATGTAAATCAAGGAAGCCCCCTGGAGAATCACTTCACAGAGAGGATCCAGGCCAGCTGCTCCACTCTTCTCATCAAAAACACCTAAGAAACACCTCTCTGCTGGTGTATGTATCCCTTATCTCCCTGCATCCCATCCCCCCACCCCCACCCCTGTCCCACTTCCCTCCTCACTAGCAAACCCTGTATCCGATTGATCTCCAACTTAGACTTCTAGAATCACACGCATATCGAGGTAGTGATTTCAAAATATAAACAATAAAATATGAACGACGATAAGTTAAAGGGACACAGCCATTTAGATCCTGCAAACCTGGGTGCCTGGTTTCTTTCTTTGAATTTGGAGTAGAAGCTTTTGTATATATTTTCAGGTCTGCAGTTAGAACTCCTTGCTTGTAAGTAGAAGTGCTATTGGTCCATGCAGAGAGTTGCTGGGCATCATCTCTGTTCTGAAGCAGAACAGTTGATCCCTTCAGCAGCTCTAGCATCTGTGTTCTGCTCTTAAGTATTTAATAGGTTAAAGACAAATGAATCTTACTTTTTATCTGTTGGTCCATTTTACTTTACATTGACTTTTCTTTTCGTTGATGTACAGTGTATAAAACAAAGGTCAGCTTTTCAACTGTGTAGCACACAGCCCTGGATCAGTACTGAAATCAAGCAATAGAACACTGGGACAGCAGAGCATCTCCTTGTCTCCCTCCGCATTCACATCTTTCCAAGTTCCCAATTCTGGTACCCAACAGTCTGTTTTCTTCCTCTACAATTTTGCTCCAAACTGTCAAATAAATGGAGTCACAGGGTTTTTCTGTGGCTTTGGAGGCTGTCCTAGAACTAGCTCTTGTAGACTAGGCTGGTCTCGAACTCACAGAGATCCACCTGCCTCTTCCTCCCGAGTGCCACCACCGCCCAGCTCATTTCACTTTTGTAAATACTTATGACTGGGCTTTCCATATCATTAGGTCAGAATATGTTTAACTTTTAAAGAAGCTGCCTGGTACACCATTATACCACCCTACAAGAATTTCCCTTCCTTTTTAAAGTTTGGTCATTAAAATAGGTATATAGTGACAGTTTGATATGTATATTTTATCTCATGGCAAATGATTTTGAGAATTTTTTATTTGTTTATTGGTATGGCATACATTTTACAGTTTTAGCTGTTCTAGTATTTTTAAATCATTTGAGCATCTCTTTTTAAAATTTTTATTTGCATTTACTTTTTTACTGACAATAGGTAAAACACAATATATTTTGATTATGGTTTCCCCTCCCAGATCCATCCCACTTGCCCATCCACCCAAATATACTTGGTTTATTTCTCTTTCTTGTCAGGATACACATAAGAATTTAAAAAATAAAAAAGAACAATAATAAAATTAGATAAAATAAATACAAACAAGCCAGAATAGGTCAAAACAGACAAACAGAAGAAAAAGAGCCAAAGAAAAAGCCCAAGAAACACATATAGATTCAGAGACACACATTGGCACACAGAGAAATCCCATTTGGCCATCTCTTAGGTACATAGAATTTCCCACTGCTCATCATAGCTTTCCTTGCAGTTTCTTCAAATCACAGTTGTTGATCAATGATATTTGAAAATCCCACAAATCTTTTTAAAATATAGCTCTGTCCTAGACATGATGGATTGTAGCCTTCCAGGGGCTCCAAATGGTTTGTGTGTACACTAGTCTTAGTTTATTTATTTTTTGAGAATTTCATGCATAAGTGCTGACGTACAACATTTATACTCTCTCTTCCTTCCCCTCCCCTCACGCCCTCCTCTTTCATGATTGTTACAGCTTGCTGGGTCCAGTCAGTGTCCTTCCTGTGCTTAGAACTGACCACGTGGGGTTGGGTGACCTATGGGGGCTCATCTCCAGCAAAGACTGATTCCCCCTCTCAGCAGCCATTAATTGCCTGTAAGTCTTCATCTAGGGGAGAGAAACTTATGAGACATCCTTCATGCACGTTGGCATGTCAACTGGTGTTACTTACCATTGTGTAATTCTTGTTTAGGGGACAGTACCATTGAGTTTTCATGGGGTAGGGGCAGCTTCACCATTATATACGGAAATCACTATCTCACAACAGATGTCTTGGTGTTCTGGTTCTTGGAATCTTCTCACTCTCTCTCCCATGATGCTCCCTGAGCCTTAAGTGTAGGGGTGGTGTTATAGATGCATTCGTTGGGTCTGGGCACTCCATCCTCAGTTGTTTTCTGCATCTTGTCCAGGTGTGGATTTTTGTAATGGTCTGTCTGCTTTTTTATGGGTGTGTGTGAGAGCTATGCTTAACAACTATGTTTCCAAAGAGATGTACAGCCCAGAATATATCATACTATAAATCTCACCCTTGTTATAGCTATAGAACATTTGCTGGACATTCATGCTGGACTGAAGATAAAGTAGCTTTAAAAGAGAAAGGAAGGAATGAGTGAGAATAACTACACACACACACACACACACACACACACATGTGAGTTTAAGGTATACTGAATATTCATGGTCACCTAATAAAGGGAAGGAGTGGGCATGTTATCCTTGGTTTTACTGTCAGCTCCATTTTCTTTATGTTTCTCTATGTAACTGATTGATCAGTGCTGGCAACCCCAGCTTAGATTGACCTCTCTGACTTCTAATGCACGTGCACAGTATCCTAAGCTCTGTCAGCCCTTTCAGAATTACCTGAAATGATTTTGAAAATTGCTGAGTCATTCTTAGAGCATTTGGGCCAGAAGCTCCTGAGCAAGCCGGGTGGATGCTGTCCTTTAAGGCCCTCCCACACGATTTTCCCAGAGTTGAAGAGCCTTTGCAAGAAGCTTTTCTGCTCCTGTTTGTCCTCTTGATGCTTGTGAGCAGTGCCCTGCATTCTGGCCTTAAAAAGCTCAGAGACAGTACAAACCATTGTAAGTCTCTTCCTCCACATCCAACATTTGTTTTTCACCAGCTTCTAGGCCTTATTTGCATCCCCCTCCCCAACCCTGTTCTCTGCAAAACTTGCTGAATATTCAAATGCCAGTATTTTTTATCCTCCTAGCCCCTTGGGTATAGATTCTCATGTGATGTCTCTAGAGATTCTAGAAGCTTTGGAGGTATCTGAAGGAACTGCAAGATGTCATACAGAGGATGGTTTCAAAGAACAAATAGGCATTCAGAACTTAAGTTTAGTAAACTGGGCATTTGCCATGCGCTTTCAAGTAAGTTATCATGTATTTTCTTCATAACTTCATGGCCTATACCAAGGGATCGTTACTAGGTCTGTTTTTTCACAGATGAAGAAATTATAGTTTGAGAATTTCTTGACCCCAATTCCTAGAACTAGACATATATGACTTAGGTCTTCTGAGTTCTGTTCTTCAATCCTTCCTATCATTTTATCAAAAACCTGAAATAATTTTTAAAAATCTACACTTGGAATTTGCAAATAAAATTTATTAAGTCATTTTATGTCAACATACATAACTAAACTATGGATTTCTGTGTTATTTGCAAAATGTGTCCACAGGCCTCTGGGATTAAATAATAGATCTTATTGTGGTTCCAGGGCCAGCAGCATGGCTACCACCAGGAAGCTTGTTAAGGATGCATACTCTCTGGCCTCACTCAATCCCACTGCCTCAGACACTCTACAAGTGGAATACAGCAATGTGTATTTTAAGAAGTCCTGCCCCCCCCCAAGGTCTGATGCATGCTGAAGTGAGAGTCCTCATACTGTATCCAAATTCCAGGATCCACATTGTCTGGGAGAATGTAGCAATGCAGAAACCTACCTCACCCAACTTAGTCATCCTAACTCCAGAGCCCAGGCTTACCACTGTTGGATCCTATCTTCTCCTGGAAACAGAAGGAAACCAAAATATTTCCTCTTAGAACATTGAAGTTTATTGGACTGAAGGATGTTCAAACACAGAGGAACTTTCTGCTTTTCTCGTTCCTGCCTAATGACAGGACATTAATCATTCTTTACAGACGATAGGTTTATCAGCCCAGAGCCAGGTGCCAGCAGGAACTGCAGACAAGCCTTGCTTCATTGAATTTTCCCATATATTTGATCTCCACAGTTTCCCTGTGTTTAGTCATTCTCTTATGTCTTGTCTCTACCCTAAGATTTATTACCCTTTGTTTACAAAGTATAAAGGCATCTTGCTTTGGAAATTTTTCCAGACTTCACTGTCTTGTGGAAATTTCCCACAGACATACAAAGTTAGTAAAACTTTATGCCTCATATCTTGTTAATCTGACTTAATTTAATTTATAAACATAACCAAAGGTCCTGGGTAAGAGCTACGGTAAGGTAAGAGAGTCAAGGTCTCTTTCCCTCACATTCCTAATGACTTGGGATGCTTTGAAAAGGAGTAGACAAGGGGCATTCAAAACACCACAAAAGTCTTTTCTAAGGCTCCTATTCTTTCTTTTCTATTTCTTATTTATCAATAGCTTTGTGGAGATCTATTCCACATACCACCTCTTAAAGTGTACCATTCAGTGGCTGTTCGATGTGTAATCAAAGAACTTTATAACCATCTCGACAATCATTTTAATCATTCATCAAGAAAACTTGGACCCATTCATAGTCACTATTTCTCCTCAGCCCTTTAGCCCATGGCAACAAATAATCTCCTCCTGTTTCTATGAATTTTTCTATTCTGGAAATTTCAGTAGAATCATTCAAAATGTGATTTTTTTCGTGACTGAATTGCTTTCATCTGTAATGTCTTGAAGGTTCATTCAAGTTATGGGATGTGTTTGTACATCCTTCCTTATTCTACTGTGTGGACACATGAGCTTTGTTTATCCATTCATAAGGGTGACTGACATTGGGTTGTTTCCATTTATTGACTCTTATGCTGAGCTAACTCCATGTTTAGACTGATGAAGAACTACCAGAAAGTCTTCCAAAGCAGCTGCATCATTTTACATTCCTAACAGCAACAGATGATGGTTCCAGTTTCTCCATATCCTCTCCAGCACTTGTCATTGCCTGAGTTATAAAAGCTGTGGAGACACACAGGCACTTTGGTAATACATTTTTGGAACCTGAATTCACTCTAATCTGACAGTTGCTTATTGCATGATCTATTGCTTTTCTGTTGTAGGACTCACCATTTGAGCTTAGTCCCAACAGCTCCCAGTGAGGTGCAAAATATGCACATTGGAGGCAATGTGAGAACAAGGACAGCTGATACTGAGAAAAAGAGTGATTAAGAGATGGAGAAGAAGGTAGGTTGACTATGTACTTGCTACCTGTTCTCCATTTGATAGACCAATTACCCTTCTAGCAGTTAGAAGACAACCATTTTGTGACTAAGAAAAACAAAGTTAAAAAGCCAACAACTATGGTAACACCTCCATTTTTATAGGTAGAACACTGCACAGAAAGACTTGAATTAGTTTGGTTCTCTTAGTGAGGAGATTAAATTACCCCAGGTACTGAACAGTCATAGTAGGACCAAAAGACATAGTCCTGAAAAGAACAGGGCCTAGAACTATCGGAGTTGGAGTCCTGTGGGAAAGTGTAATGACCTCGCATCAGGTTTTCTCCACTTCAGTGCTACCGAGTCTTTAGACCAGACGAATCTCGGCTGTGAAGCTGCAGCATGTTGTGGGACACTGATCCTTATGCCTGGCTCTACCATTAAGATTATCATAGCATTCCTATTGCCTCCATTGCAACAGCCAGAAGTGCCTGCAAACATTGAGAAAAGTCTCCTTGGGTTCAAATTCACCTCTGTTTAAGAATCATTGAGTTATATAAAACCTGTAACCTTTGTTTTATCATTTGTAAAATGGGGGATAATTATAGTGTTTGTCACTTTAAGGCTGTTCTGAGAGGGGACCATTACAGAAAATCACAATCAATCAAAATGTAAAGTTGTGCAGCCCGGTCCCAGTGGGTGCATCTACCAAACATTCCTGTACCCAAGGCTTAGGATGTATTGCTGCGAAGGAGGTAGAAAGATTGTAAGAGACAGAGAACCAGGGAATTTGCTGCGATATTGTGTCTCCTAGGAATGTCAGATGTGACACCAGTAAAATCTTACCCACATGATTGTCCAAATGTGAGATGAGCAAGGGCAACAATAATAGACAAGCTAAGTGGAGAGAGGAGAGCTCATGAGGCCTTGAACCCATACAAAGACCTACTAGCAACCAAGGGATGCTCAGAGTGGGAGAAATAGTCTTCCCCAGGGAAGAGAACACTGATGGGTTATCTAGTACCAAGTAGTCAGCCCTGAAAGCATACATTCAAGTAGCATTATTCAGGCTGAGCAAGTTATACATAGGAATATATATTACATATACATATATACATGTAACAACAATTTTGAAAAGAGGCAATGAATTTGAAGAGAGCAAGGAGATGTATGTGGGAGGACTTGGAGGGAGGAAAGGAAGGGCTAAACAATGTAATTATAGTATAATCTCAAAAATAAAAGAAAAGATTGCTCTGAGAACCTTATTAAATAATAGCCTTGCCAAAGACATTGTAAACTGTATCGCTTGATACAAATGAAAGTTGACATTATGACCCCAGAGAAATACTAGACATTATCAGGCAAATCAGAGTAACGAGCAACCCTAGGGCTCTGCAGTGCAGCAGGGCACTCTTATGTGGAGAAGCAACTGCAGGGTGAGTGTAACTGTAGAGGTTTCTGAGAACAAGCTTCTAGAGACAGCCATCTGGAAAACAAGGACTGGGACCCAAAGGGAGACTATGACAGAAGAGGATTCAGAAGGCCCTGGAGTAGCAGGGAGTTGGAGAAGACATTTTTTCTTGGAGGTGAGTAAGCAAGACTATCCAAAATGTTGGGCTGAATAGTGATACTAAGTCAAGTTAGCTGAGATGCCCTGTGCAGGAAGCTCCTGTGACTACTGTAGAATAAGATGTCTTGGATCTGTGGGGATGAATAGAGATCAGAGGTGTATAGATGTGTGAAGATCATTGCTTTAGTAAACAGGGTTTTCAGTGGAACAACAGACATCAGAATGCCTAGTGCAGCCTGGATCTCATGATGACAAGAGAACATGCTGATAGAATGTCCCACAGGGAGATCTAGATTCAAAAGTGGGAAAAGCAGGGAGAGACACTCTTCATCCAAAAAGCATTCATGTGATGTCATTCCATGACAAATTTCCTCATTTCCTAGTTTAAAGTCATCTTTTAAATAGCTTAAGCTTAAAAATGTTTGAAATAATAACAATACCTTACACAAACACACACACACACACACACACACACACACACACATATATATATCATAAGGCACCAGGGAACCGAGAAATATTTATTATTTTCTGGGATTTAAAATGATCCCAGTACATACATGTACACGTGCTCATAGACAAAACAATCTACCTTTGATTATTTCCATTTAGTCAATTATAAGACTAGGCTTTGAGAGGTGCAGTGGTGTTCACAGTTCAAGAACAATGGATGAAGAGATCTGCACATGCAAACCTGTGTCCCCAGTCCAAAGTAAGATCTCAAAACACTCTCCCGCACTGTTTTGATTACCAATCCCAACAAATTAGACAAGTCTCTCAGAGGATGTGACCCTTTGTTATCCTTTAGGGAGCAAAGGTCCATCCCAGCTTGGAAGAGGCAGTCTACCTTCTGATCATTCTGTAGATGAGGTGGTGGGGGCCAGGAATTAGGGGAAGAAGCATTCACAACAAGGAAAGCAGGGTTTCCATCATGTCACTGGTTTTGTCTCCTGTCACTGTTTCTGTTTGTAGTGTGCTCTGATAACAACTGGCTTGCCCTTTAACTAAGACTCACACTCACCTTCATGACCCTTTAACTAAGATGCGTGGACATTCTCCCATTGTGCTGGCTATTCCCATTCACATCTTTTCAGTATTGTACTTCATATCAATGGGTCTAAAATATTGTACCTGGTACCAGAGAATCTTCCTGTCTTTGCCAGCTCTGCATTGATCCCACTTTCACTCAAAAGAACTGAAGTCCCCTGCAAGAATTGTACTGACTGTTGACCACCAGATACCTGACTGAAAAATCTTTTCTTGTACTTCTATATTTCTAGACAATTATCTTTGTAAGACAATAAATTTATTCGTTATAGATATTTGTGCCTGCTTTGTTTACTTGGAGGAAAAAGCACCCATTGAGAACAAACAGATCTTGATAAACAAAAGTAACATGTGAAAAAAAAGAATTGAAGTCCAGCTGGGCAGTGGTGGCACAGGCTTTGAATCCCAGCACTCAAGAAGACAGCAGTAGGCAGATCTCTGTGAGTCTGAGGCCACTCACTCTGTGTAGACTCCTGGTCTACAGAGTAAGTTCCAGGAGAACCAGGGCTACAGAGAGAAACCATGTCTCGAGACAAAACAAACAAACAAAAAAGAATTAAAGTCACAGACCACTTCACATGCCTGGAGGAGTACTCTAATGACATTACTAGGTCCTGGTCAGCCCTAGCGAAATGGAATCCTCTGGTTGGGGCTGAGGAATTGGCCTTTTTGATGAGTGGCTGTTAGGTATGCTAAAGTCTAGGAGCATGGGCTAAGGTGTGTGTTTGCTTCCTGAGAGTGTTTCTGATCACCCCAGGGCAAGGCAGAAGGGGGAATGGCTCCTTTGCCAATGTCCCTGCTGTTAGTCAAAGTACAGAAGTTCCCGTGGCTTTCAGGAGCGAGCAGGCCACCTGTCTTGTGCTCACACGCCACCCACGCAGTGACAGAGCAGAACTGAGAGCTGTGGTAGAGGCAGTGGCTCAGCCTGCTGCCTGTCTCTGTCAACAGCCTGGAGCTTAGCACACTGCACATTAATGAGTCCTATTTTCTACCCCAGCTTCTTTAAATGCTGCAATATTAACACCTACTGAAATAATTTAACTCTACGTCAGGAGGCTGCCTTCACCTAAACTGAAGCAAGAAAGACATTTCTACTGCTGAGCCACAGAAATTTCAACACTCCCCCATCTGTGTGTGCCTGTAGGTGTATATGCGCTCACACATACATACCTATACTTTCCTTTTATCTTGAAAATTGAAGGACACAATCCACGTAAAGTGCTTAGAACCAAGCCAGCTACTAAAAGAGAAATGAAAAATCCTTCTTTGTTTTCTGGATTCGTTCTCTTTTCTGGACTGTGTCCTGGGAGGCTTTTATGTGCTGCCTTTTGTGCTCTGTTGTCTTCTGACTCCTAGGTGGACTTGTTCCATCAGAAGCTCAGTCAAATGGAAACCCAGGAGAGTCGCACTGTGATTCTCCTGGCTCTCTTGGTACTGAACGCTGGTTGGCAGTGACTAGGAATCTCTTTCTGCATCTCTGGATGTGGTTGACCATCCTACCCTCCAAGACAGATGCTTCTGTGGGGTTTGCACATCCCTGCTTTCTCCCCCTGCCACCTAAGGACTAGAAGAGTGTTTATGGTTATAGCTGACTTTGTTGTGTTTGCCTTAAAACTCAGTTCTCATAGCATCTGTTCAAATCCAAGCTGTTGCAATCTTTACCTTCCAAGAAGTCAAAGGTAAACTGCTTTCCTGAAAATACACAGAGACTCCATATTATTCATCCTTGTCTTAGTTACTATCCTATTGCTGTGAGGAGACAGTGTGACCAAGGATACTTATAAATGAAAGCATGTAGTTGAGGGATGGCTACAGTTTCAGAGGGCGAGTCCATGACTATCATGGCAGGAGGCTTGACAGCAGTCAGGCAGGCAGGTGCAGCACTGTAGTGGCTGAGAGCTCATAGTGTTTATCCACAAGTAGTAGGCAGAGGTGTAGTGAGGAATTAATCCTTTGCAACCTCAAAGTTCACCCTGGTGACAAATCTCCTCCAGTAAGGCCACACCTCCTAATTCTGCCCCAAACAGTCTACCAGCCTTGGACCAAGCCTACGGGGCATTATCACTCAAACTGCCACAATCCAAATGCTTTTGTTCAAGCTTCCCTACTAGGCCATGCTTCCTTGTGCCTGGAGATCTTCTGGAACAAAATTCTGTTTGTGTATCTGGCTGTTGTGCACACTTTTATACTTGCTTTATTGAATGCCACCTCCATATTCATCAAGAGACATGTCACCCTAACTTTAAAATGAGACCATTGATGCTTAAAGGGAACTCTGTTCCAGGTCACTCAGCTAGAGAACAGGATATATTCTGAAGTGTTTTAGGACACAAAGCTTGGGATCTCAAGATGAATCATCTCTTAGGGTTGCATGGGGATCATTCTAGAAACTCAAGTTTCATCTTTCCAGCCCCTGTCACAGAGTTCTGCAGGACCTGGAAAATGAGAGCTATGTGAACTCTTCTGTTCTTTACCTGGATTTCTCTTCCTTCTCTCTGTCCCCCAAACATTCTCTACTTTTAGATTTGTCCTCAGGGAAGTCTTCCTAACTTGCCTGACTCAAACAACCCAGAACCTCCCACTCTGTACAAACACCCACCTCTCCTTCAGTGCCCTTATCATGGTTGCAATTCTCTACTCATTTATTAAATCATGTAATAACATCTGCCACCTTACACTAAACTACAGGTTCCATGGAGGCCAACTCTGTTAACATTCAGTAAATATCAGTTGTCCACAGGCCTGTGAGGTCATATGAGCACTCCATACATTTAGGAGCAAGGAATGAATTCTATCCGATGCCTACCAAGATGTGAAATTCAGAAGAGGAAATAACTTTGAAAGTACAGATTTACCAATCATTAGCAAATGACTCCAGACTATCTGAGTGGATACTGCCCATTGATCTAGACAGTACACCATTTGAAAAACGAGAGTATGCTTATTGCATGCACAACTGTATTCCCAGAACTCAGTTCATAGATTGGCACACTGATTGCCGACACTGGATCAATCTCTTTTTGCATAGATGAGTCAATAGGCCAATATAAGTGAAGGAAAGACACTCTCTCCTTCCCCTTCTTCAATCTATGTCTACCTCTCCTTCAAAATGCTTTTAGGAGTCACTGAAGCAAGGCTTGATATAATGTGGCCTTCTGGCTAATGACATTACAGAAAAATTATCAACAATGAAGCACACCATGTGGCAATATAAAAAATGAGATGGCTTCAGGGAAAACATTTCAGTTCATGGGGTGAAGACTACAAAGTGTCACTACAAAGCATCAAGCCCTGATGGCCAGAACAGCCAGTGGCTTCATATAGAGAAAAATATCAACTGGACAGAAATGCAAACCCTATTTTTAAAAAGTGTGTGCGTGTTTATACATCAAAGTACCTCTTTTGTAAAAGCATGATAGATCAGATGGTTCATTTCAGCCACATATCCAAAATGAGAAACTTGATAATGCTTAATCCTTATAGCTAACATGGTGCTTTATTCTGATAAGTTCGGAAACTACACAACATGCCAAAGTGATAGGCCATGGATTCTGGAGGAGGAGAGGACAACACTTCAGGGAGGATAAAGAATGGAAGTAAATGCAAAAGTGAGCCCTGAAGACACTTTGAAAAACCTTCTAGAAAATTCCAAACTTCCAATGGATTGACCTGCTGAGTGTGGCCTTGTGTTTCACCTCTTCTCTCACCTCCCATCCATTTGGAAAAAAATCCCTAAGAAAATATTAACACTGTAGTCCTTGCCACAGGCTCTGAGTTTAACAGATCATGGGAGGTAACATGACTTGACCAGATTAAGTAATGTCACTCACTGTGTCTCAGTTTTCCTCCTTTGTAAAATGTGGAAATCAAACTTCTACCTCATATAAATGCTTTGAGAAATTAAATCAGCCAATATATGAAAAACCATTCAAAAGGTAGCACGCACATCGTAAGTGATAAATAATGCCAATTTTTACATGATCCATAGACAACTAAGTCATGGTATCAAATGAGGATGAGAATTCCCTCCATTGACTCTTCATTCATCAGGAGCAACCTAATAATTTCATCAATATCTTCCTTTAGAAAGATTGAGATGAGAGAGAGAGAAGCATGTGAGAAAAGTTATTAGTGAAAAGGGGCAAGAAAGAGTCAGTACTATTTTGACAGTTCTCAGTTCAAAGCCCTTTTAGTAAAATCCTAGTGACCATAGAGAAAGAGGGAAAAAGTTTCTAGTTTTCTTTCTACAAAGTTGAACGGGTATTTGGCTTAATCCATAGATAGCAACCAATACCTGGCTATAACACAGGGTTCTCTGTGCATAGCTGTGTGCTCTACACCATGCTGTCATCTTCCTCACAATGATCTCATCCAGTCCTCACAATGACCCTGTGATCTATTCCTTTAAAAATGAGAAAATTGTCTAACAGAAAATGTTTCATAATCGTGCAAGACCACACTGGAACGGAGCCCCTGGAATTTGAAGACTAGGATTCTGACTTCAAATTTCCGTGTCTCATTCTCCTCTATAGTGTGAGGCTATATGGGTTTAGATCTAAAACTGGACACTTACAATGATACGGAATGCAGCAGTAGAGCCCATGTACATATTTTCCCATAGAAGTAAACTGTTGTCTCTCATGACTTGGGCACCCTGCACGTGAGATTGTGTCATTATGAAAGTAGAGGTGTCATACTCTGCTATTGCCATCTGCACTGATTTTCCCTCTTAATAGGAGCTACTCAAATGCTATAACATAGGAAATAGGGTGCTGAGTCATCACAAAGTGTCTTTTGGGAAGCATGTGATTTTAGACTCTTGTATGCAAGGTTCAATGCTACAAACAAGACATAACAGCCTGGTGGTAAGGTCCATGAACACCAGAACTCCTATAGTCTTGCTCATCTGTGAAGCCAGGCCTTCTAACAACAGATGCATCCCTTGCTTAGGTCTCAGCCATCCTTTGATGTGGGCACACTCCTCTCCAGGCCTCAGAACAGTAAACTGGTAATGTGTGGCATCTTGTGCTGGGAAGGGCAGTAGAGTTCCTGACCAACAAGACTGGCATTTCTCCATGGTTAACTGGAAAGGAACCAAGCACTATAGCAGTAGCAGATCCCCTCCATCCCCCGTGATTTGATGTCTCAAGCAAGTCACACAACTTGAATCTCAGTAATAAGTGAGACATTAATATCCAGTACTCAAGATTATTAAGATTGAATATGATTGTATCTGAAGTGTTCAGACACTGTCTGACATGTGGTAACCACTCCTCATTGAGAAGCACCCCTGCTGAAACTTCCATAGTCTAACCAAGACTATTTTTCCTGTTCATCCAGAAAACATGGAGGCATAGCCCAGAAATCCTCCTTCTCTGCCTCTGAGAAACCCACACAGACAAGCAGGTGAGTGACAGAGTGAGGAGAAGAGCAGTTCTGGAGTTGGTAAGAACTGTCTTTGGTAGCTGGAATTATTTGAGCTCTTAATATAGTGTTTACTTGGCTGTTAAGTATTGATAACAACAGTGTTGGTTTTCCAGGATGATTGCGAGCATAGAATGGAAAATGCATATAAAATGCTGAATACACGAGTAATGATGACTCAAGTTGCCTATGTTGGGTAATAAGAGCTCCACTCAGATGCATCTTCCTCTCTGTAGATCTCCCCAATCATTCCAAATGCAGTTGCTGTCTAGGATGCCGAGAACACTGTCTCTGTGTGTTTTCTCTTTAATTCGAAAGTGTCTGAATACTATGTTAAGATCAGCCCTCTCTATAAAACTCCCCAAAACTGCTTATTTCAACAAGTTCCTCATATAGAAAAAACTTCAAATGTACTGTTGAGTTGAATGGAATTGAATAATTATAGCAGAAATCTGCTTTTGAAAATTATAATAACTGGATATAAAGCTGCAATGCCCCCACAAACAATACCCCAAGCATCAAGAAACAAATGGTCTTTGACAGTGACCCTGGAATGTGTGGTCAAGAAACTGGTTAAGGGTGAGAAGAGAATTAATCATACATGTAAAACTTGCACTTCCAATGAAAATAACTGGAAAAGTGTGTGTCAGCATAATGACTAAGTCAACTTCCAGAGTTAGCGATGTTAAACAAGCTGCTACAAGAGCATTAATGCAGATGCATTTGCCAGTTTTTTTCCTGTGTTTTCCAGGACAAAGGAATCAAGATCACTCCAGTGTGGACAGTCAACCTTTCAAACCCAATATCACTTGCTCTCATGTAGCTGAAGGCGAAGCAGTTTGTATGGTGTGAGTATAAAATGCATGTTCATCAGTGGATCATTCACAAGTCCATTGTGATGGACTCACTGCAATCTGTATTTACATACATGTACAGGCAAGTATCCCATTGTGCTGGGAGATGGATAGGAATGGCCTCCTGAGGGAAGAAGGTAGAATTTAAACTTCTGTGTGTTTCCACTCATGTCAGTTCTTGTTTCTGTAATTTTTTCTTTGTTCTTATACAAGATGTCTCGCATCTAGAAGACCCATTGGAGGAGAACTGTAGTTTGAAGTTCAGAAACTAGGGATAGATATGGAAGGGGACTTTTCCATGGAACAACAAGAAAATATGATGGTGATTCCTTATCACCAAGGTTTCGTAGAAGGAGACCAAGCTGGGTGTTGGTGGTGCACGCCTTTAATCCCAGCACTTGGGAGGCAGAGGCAAGTGGATCTCTGTGAGTTCGAGGCCAGCCTGGTCTACAGAGCTATTTCCAGGACAGGCTCCAAAACAATACAGAGAAACCCTGTCTTGAAAAACCAAAAAAAAAAAAAAAAAAAAAAAAAAAGAAGAAGAAGAAGGAGACCAAACACTTGCCATGGGTAGCACGTCCATGAACAGGATGGAGTGTAGGAGAAGAGGAAGGCAAGATTTCCTCTGGCACACATACAGCACCCATCCTGAGAAAATACATTTTACCTCCACAATACCAACCTTTCCTCTGTGTTAAAGAACCAATTATAATTTTCAGTCAAAAAACATGTTAAAAAACTAAATTGAGGGAGTGGGGAGATGACTTAGTGGTCAAACGAGCAGCTCACTGGTTGCTGAGAACTTCCAGAGGATCTGGATTCAGTTCCCAGAACCCACATGGCAGCTCACATCCATCTGTGACTCCAGTTCCAAGGGATTCTACAGCGGGTGCCAGGCATGCACTGTTATGCACAGACATACATGCAGACAAAGCATTCACACATGCAAATTTTTTACGGAAATTTAAAAGACTGCATTTTTCCCCCAGAGAGCAAGTGAGGTGGATAGTGTTAAAGACAGTTCTAATGCTTGCTTTCTTGGAAGTCCATAGACTTCTGTCTATGCTTGGACTTGCCTGATGTTCATATACAAGGCCAGTCAATTTGCTGAGGCATTCAAACTTGATGGGTTAATCTTGGGAAGGTTCTGCACTGGAAAAATGGGGTGGTTGATGGGAGCCTACGTTGGCAGTTGCATTGTTAGGGGAGAGGTTTATGTGTGTGATATTTGCATTGTTTTAAAAGGGTGTAATAGTCCAAGTCCAGTGAACTCTCAGTAAGCTGTTTCTCTCCTTGCTGTCTCACCTTGAGATCTAAAGCATTTTTTTCATAATATTTCATGATTGTGAATTCATGCCAAGAGATGGTAAGACAAAAAGACTTTGGCATCTTACCTCAAAGGCATCAGTTTTGAATTCAACATTCCAGAAGGAGTATAAAAATAAAGGATGAAAGAAACTTAAGCTCTTGAATTTTAATATATGCAGTTATTATAAAATTTTAATCAAATGGATTAAAACCATCACCCTTAGGTTCCTTTCTCTGTATTTATAAATAATTTTTCCTAATGAATCCCATTTTTGACATGCATTATGATTTCAAAGCATTTTCCTTTGGAGAGATACTTTGACCATAGACTGAATAGACATAAAATAATCACATTTTGATAAGGACTGACAGTTACTTGTGAAGCCTCATGACCTGACTTGGCCACTCTGATGGGGCCACTTAAACTAAAGAAGCCTGTTTCCTTGTGCTCTCTCCACTTGGTCTCTGGGTGTTCAAGAAAACAAATTTAAGGACTGGCCACTTAACAGATTCAGTGTTGACTCAGTCAGATTCCTTCCTAAAATTGTGCTTATTGGCCTGGAGCCTCGTAATTATTATTTTAATGTGTCATATGTGAGACAGGTCAAGTAGGAGGGAGAGGAACAGGGTGCAGGCAGTTTTAACAAAAGGAAGCAATGGTAAAATGATGGCATAGCCATACAATGGCTGAAGTCTCCAATTGGAGCAAAAAAGATGAACACATTTTGCTTTTTTTTTTTGCTTAAAAATTCTTCATGCTCACAGTGCAGAATAATTGTTCATTGTAGCTTCTTCATATAAGTATATCACGTACTTTGATAATGCTATGTAACTTACCTTGAATTTTGGAATTTGAGGTCATCCCTGCCTTAGCATTCTGAGTGCTGGGATACATGTGTGACCCACCACCCCCAAATGCTTCAAAGCATTCAGACTGTACTTATTGTTCAGGTGCGTGTTTTCACAGTCCACATCAGCATCTGGGCCTTCCTTCCTTCACATTTTCCCCTCTGTTGATTCCATTATCTTGGGAAAAAAAGTCAGGGAAGAAGCAGCGACACCTTTCTATTTCAGTAACAAAAATTCTGTACGATTCAGCTCCTTAGGTCCAGGAGAGGAGTTCTCAACTGTTCCCTTGTGTCTGCAGTGGCTCACATTTAGGGTGACGTGGGATAGGACTTCTGCTCAAGTTACCACAGCTACCTACAACAGGGCATTGGATAAGGTGAGTGAACCACGGAACACAGATTTTGATGTGTGTGTGTGTGTGTGTGTGTGTGTGTGTGTGTGTGTGTGTGTGTGAGAGAGAGAGAGAGAGAGAGAGAGAGAGAGAGAGAGAGAGAGGGAAGGAGGGAGGGAGGGAGGCAGGGAGGGAAGAAGTGAAGGAGGGAGGGAGGGAGGGAGGGAGAAGAAACAGCTAAGAACACCTGTATTGAGATGGGACGATGACAGCCGAGGAACAGGCCGGGACAGAACACCCAGACACCAAGTGGAAAATGCACAAGGAAACAGGCTTCTTTAGTTCACTTCAAATAATTCCAATCAGCTGACCAAAAAAAAATGTATGTACCACACTAGTCTGAATGTGTCAGTTACTTTATTTTGAAAACTTTTGCACATGGTAGGCAGCAAAAAATATTTGTGGAATGAATGAAATTATCACCAACACCCCTGAGCCATATGAGAACTAAGCTTAAAATCCTTCTCATTAAAATGCAGTTCTGGGGCTGAGGGCCCCTTAGAACTGATTCACTTTTATTGGTAGCAGTGGCCATCTGTCCAGGCTAACTGCTTCGAAGGTCACTTCTGTAATTCTGCGTACTGTATTTCTTACTGGTCATGGAATCTTTTTTTTTCTCTCTCTCTCTCTCTGCTTTGCATTGTGACTGCATTGATAATGCACCTACCCCTACCATGAATTATATGAAAGACATTTATATGGGACAACTATGGGACAGTAAACTGTGTATTTATTCACTTGCCTCTGGTGTTCATGTCTTACAGGGTGGAATCCTGGGAGTTTGAAGTCATTTGGGTAGCAGGCAGTAGAGCAGATGTCTAACCCACCTGTGTGTTTTCAAGTGAGGGCACTTGAGCCCAGTGTGGAGCAGCATGTGCTTTGCAGTGAGAGGACACTTGGTTAAGGTTGCTGACAATTCAGAACAAACATCTGAAGGCTCCCAAGGAATGAACACCAAGGCTGTAGTGCCACAGAGGCTGTCATTGGTGTGGAAGCTGTTACCATTAGAGCCTGCTGCTTACCAGGTACAATCAGTGATCTGGCATGGGTGGGGTGGGAGCAACCTGTACTTAGGGGACTGTACATAAGCACCCTGTTTGCAGCAGCTCTCTGTGTGGGTGTGGGCTCCCCAGTGCCCTTCCCTGGGGAGGTGTTCTGGCTTCCAGCTGTATTCACTTCAGCAAACCTGGCAGAAACTGCTCTCTACCAGTCAGTGAACCAGAACCATTCCCCTGTCATTTCCCCACAGAGTCACAAAGACAAAGACTGGCTTATGCTGGTACCAACAGGGCCCCTCAGCTGTCCTGGGCCAACGTACTCTCCAAGCAAGCAGTGGCTTTCTGAACATTTTATAAGCTCTGACCTTTCCAGCAGGGCAAAGTCAAAAGTGGGAGCTAAGAGGGAGCTGAGAGGCATGACTCCTTGTCACCCAGTGCCAGCTCTGCTGTTGATTTGAAACCTGCGTTCTTACTTAGCATTGTTGTTTTCCAGCAAGGATGATCAGAACAATCCTATTTACCAACTGAGAAGGGGCTCAAAAGGGTGAGTACTCCAAGGAACACCCTAGACTCTACTTTTGACATCATGACATAATGTTGTTATCTACAAAGTTTGCACTTAAGGACTGTGCTGTGGAGGTACAAACAACATCACACGCATACACACAATGATGTTTTAAATAAGTATATGATTTTTGTGTTGGGCCATATTCACAGATACCCTGGTCTGTATAGGGACTCATGGACTGCAGCTTGGATGCACTTTCCTTAAAGAATGTCCATAATGAGTTTCAGATCTAGTCTGGCTGCCAAGCTGATGTTTCTCTCACACCACCCCTCCTGTTCCTGTCTTCAGAAGCTCTGCAGAAGACACCAGTCCTAACTCAGGAGATTCCACTGTCCAGCTGTGGCCTGTATCCTCCTGCTGTCCATCCCACCAAGCCACAGCAGGCTTCTAAGTTTCCTCTAACTTTCCTGCTTTCCCTAGCAACTTCATCTCATGGACTCAACAGAACCCTGGGTCTTGTGCAGCTGCCTTTGACTGAAAGCCTTGCACTGCATTCTGTCCTCTGACGTCCAGATATGTTCATTATAAACTGTTCAAAGCCAGTGCTGCCTTCCCATGCCACAGAAAGCTCTTCCAGGCCAACATCAGAATGCTCAGGGTTGGTTTAGCCAGGAAACCTGGGCTCCAGAGCCATGACAGCTAAACTCTATTCCTCATGTCTACATAACCCCAGGCAAATCAGGCCCTAGGAACCTCAGTTAGGCATACAATTAAGGAACTCAGCTTATGCTGTGGCTTGGCTTTCTGTTTGTGGAATGGAGACAGTCTGAGTCTCCAGCTTGTGTCATATACTCTCTTCAAGACTCTGCAGAAGTGAATGAGAGGGGAGACGTGCCAGGTGTTCTTCTAAGCTTTAGGGGGTGCTTGTTAGGAGCTGTATCTGGTGTATTGTCAGGTCAGGGTTTTCAGAGCTGATTGGAAGACTTGTGGGAAAACTTATTTTGATAAATTACTACACATGCAGAAAACCTGATCACACTGACTGAATCTGTCCACGACACGGAAAATAAACAGGATTTTCAGAAAAAAAGTCTCTGCAGAGGAAACATCATTCCCTTTAAGCGTGGAGTTTCCCAGGGAAGCTATAGGTGTGTAGCCAGTCACTCACAGACCTTCTGTTATTATACGACACAACCGCCGCCCCTTAGTTTATTGCTCTTGGCAAGCATGTATTCATTCATATTCTGGTCTTCCTTGGTAGCATCACACACACCAAGTCTTCATCCAGCTGTACTGAACGATGCCCTTTCTTGCCTTTCATGTGATGAAATTGGGAATTTGGTTGCCTGAAAATTAACCAGATCACCTCTAAGTCAGGTTTTCTGGCCATTTTACAGGCCCACCATTCAAGTAACCTCTTGCTGATCTAATAAATAAAACTTTTACCAAAGTATTTGAAATTGATTCATGGATTCATTAACATTTTATGAAAATCCATGCAGCTCCAGGTGTTTTCCACACATTCTCTCTGACAAACACTGATGATAAAAGAGGGCAACAGGGAAAATGGACAGATTGTGAGCTAATGAGCACTTATGTACTGGCATTAACAAAGATTTATTTTTAAAAGTACATTTTGCCTGAAGTGAAGTGTTAGTTAATATCAAGAAGGTATACAGCACTTATACACATATTATCTCCTCAAGCCTTCATGACTTGATGGATATTGCTACTTTCAAAACACAGAAACTGAGGCTCAGAGAAATGAATGACACCATCTAAGGTTCCACTCCTAGAGAGTTTATGGATGAAGAGCTTGCACTCCCCGGTGGGGAGTTCTGTCCTTTACAGTAGCCTACACATCATCTTTAGACATTTGTTATTAAAAGAAAGAAATTGCTACCTTGCTACTCACAGGTTGAGTGACACCATCTTCCTGTCCTCCGCCATATTTGGCCAGGTACTCTTGTCACATCTCTCCCTGGAACCCTTAGAGCATAGCCCAGTACAGGATGATGAGTGGAGCCAGCCTGTCTCTCCAGAAGTCTTTTCAGACACCTATCCATGTTAAACAGTCTACATTTGTCCTTGTTATGGAGAATATTGCAAGAAAATTAAGAAGTTCATACAAAAAAATCAAATATAAAAGGTTCTTCCTTTTAAACATCTACTAGCAAGATGTAGATGCATCAAAAAGATGCATTAAGAGGAAGTAACTATAGTCCACCTAAGCATTTGACAGACAAAATAGATGTCTCCTTAACAATTCACGTCCCAGGAGCAAAAACAAACAATAAACAAACAGACATGAAGAACAAGAAACAAGAAAAAAGCAAAACAAACAAAAAAACCAAACATGAATCTAGAATGGCTACTACCTGACTGTGTGACCTATCGAAAACGAGGAACCCCTCCAGGCCTCAGCTTCCTGTTTTGCCCCCTGACAGGAGTCAGAAAGAGTAGGAAAGTTAATGTGCAACACTGTCCTGAGCCCAGTGCACACAGTGAGCACACAATGAGTGCAGCTGTAGTCACCAGCCATCCGGCCGCCTGTGTCTTCCTACTCTACATTGGTTTTATATATAGCTCACAGCTGATAATTGTAGAGTAGCTGGCTGTTATTGAGCAAAAAGGAGCAAGTCACTGCTTGATGAGGACTTTGGGGACTGAAAGCAAATAATACCACCTTAAAATTGTACTAGGTACTGTGCCAACCCATTTTGCTTGTTCTTTCTCCCCACTTTGTAATATTAAAAAAATACATTTGCTATAGCAAATGAAATGTTAGTATTCATCAACAATCTGGTATTCCTCAGAAGTGTGCCTATCTCATCACTGGCTAATTAGCTAATTTTTTTTTCTTTTTGGTTTTCGAGACAGGGTTTCTCTGTAGATTTGGAGCCTGTCCTGGAACTTGCTCTGTAGACTAGGCTGGCTTCGAACTCACAGAGATCCACCTGCCTTTGCCTCCCGAGTGCTGGGATTAAAGGCATGTGCCACCAATGCCCTGCTTAGCTAAATTTTTTATGGAAAAGAAATGCAGAGGGATTTATCAAAGATGAGAGTCAAACATTGGGAAAGAAAGGAGATGTACAAATGCAAGGGGATTTAAAATATTTCATGAGTATGGCAAATCAATCCTGCAATCTGGATTTTTGGGAAGATCCTGGAGAAAGTCGGGTGATGAGTATGTTAACACGTGAACTCACAGCTGTCCATAGAAACAAACCGGGTTTTAAACCATTCATGCAAACTGATATAATGTTCTTCTGTGGCAGATGGATGGGCTGCTATAGATAAAATGAATAATAAATATAATCTATTGCATCTTTGATAAAATACATGACTCTGAACCACAGCAAATTGTCTACCAAGCTGGGCAAAGACAATCTCTATGGGCCATTGTGCCGGGAGATTGATGTTCCATGAATCATGCTCAAGCTGTAGTCTCCTACCACATGGGTGATGACCAATAAAGTTTGACAAATACGGCCAAGTGCATTTCTCACTTTTTTTAGTGCTGAGTTGTATGGAATGACTAACCCCTACAGAGTAAAATTAGAATTCTGAATAATCTCGACAGATGCAGAAGAAATTAGTCATAAATTGATGAAGTCAGACACAAGCAAGGTCCCATTAGCTTATTTAAAGAGAACACCTTCATAAATACATGAATGGGATGATGAGTGCCTTAAAAAAGAAAACAGTAAGAACGTATTTATGTGTGCCTTTCTGGAAGAAGTGATGGAAACCATTGCCACTAGGATTCATTCAAAGACCACAGGCTTGGGAATCAAACTTGGATTACAGCACAGTTTTCCACTTCCTTGATGTTATTCTTGGACAGATCTCCTCTACCACTCTTCCCCTGTGACTTTCTTGCCCTTTTCTCCCCCTAAAATAATAATCTCTACATCTGTTAGGAATAACATGTGAAGAGACTCCCGATACTCTTGGTTACCAACCTAATTAATTTCCTAATGGAGATGGTTGGATGCTCTCTTAGATGGTGAGCAGCCAAAGGTAATCCTAATCAACATGGTGTTTTCTCTCCACAGGCTTTGGATATGTCAAATAATCACAATCCTTGTTTAAATTAGGATTGTTTCCATATGTGTTGCCCCAACTTCTGCATTGAGAGAACTATGAGGTATCCAATACACAGCTGTCACTTAATGAAAGGTTTTCATCACAGCTTTTCAATATTCTCTTGATTTTACCATTTGACCCTGCTGGTCACCTCCTGTTAGTGACTCTTTTTCCTCAGGCATCACTGTCATGCCTAGTTCTCTGATTTCCTTTCAAATCTCAAGTTGTTTCTCAGTCATAATAGATGTCTACTCTCCAAACACTCCCTTGGTTCTGCGGCTCTTGGGTACTTCATCCAGTTTATACCCATTCTCTCCTAAGTTTCTGATCATAATTCAGGAACCCACTGGATACTCCAATCTGGACATCCTATTTGAACTTCACCCAAAATATGCCATTTCCTTGCTCATTTCTGATGTGCCTCTTATCTGCCATTTCATGGGGATTGGAACACTTATCTCCCTTTCTTCTCAAGCCAGAACCCATCAGTTACCTGTTCCTCTGCCCTCTACTTCACATTCCACAGCTATACAGTTTATTGCCTTAACCTTCTCACATTCACTCCACCCTCTACATCCCCGCTGCTGTTTGAGTCACTATTTCTAACCTTCACCTCTAATCCAGATTTACTGCAGTAGCTTCCTTCTCTGACACTTGTTTTTCTGTTGCTTCTCTCTCTTCCATTTTCCAGACTATACAGGGAAATGATATTTCTAAAACACATTTCCCATTTAGTCACTGTCCTCAATGCTTTCAGGAAGGTGCTGCAAGTTTTAAGGTCTGCAAAGTCCTTGCATGAGTGAGTCTAGTAATTTCACCCTGATGCCACCTTGTACCGCCTAGAGTGATTTAAAATGAATCTGTGCTAGACTCCACTCCAGGGGTTTTTATTTCATAATTTAACTTAAAGTATGGGCATTTTAAAAGGTTCCCCATGTTGTTGGAAT